CTTCAAACCGAGTTCTGGTTTGGTCAGACTTTATCTGGGATTTTCCTCTCCTCGTGTTTTGGGGACTTTCGCCCCCGGAACAGAGCTTCCATCTTTGTGTTTGGCTTCCGTGAGCTTTGTTTACGGTGGAAGCGTGGGGAGCACAGGGGTGGTGGTGTAGCAGGGGTGGTGCTGGGGGTCCGTGATGCCAGCTGGAGTCTTGTTTTCCTACCACAACTCCCCAAAACGAGCAGGAAGCAAAACTTGCATTTTAAATCGGAGCAGGGCTCAGTGCAGAGGAGGTGTTCCTCAGGTTTAGTGTGGCTTAAAGGCTACAAAGATGATGAGGGACTGGAGCATCTCTCTGCTGAGGAAAGGCTGAGGGACCTGGGGGTGTTCAGCTGGAGAAGAGCAGACTGAGAGGGTTCTCATGGATGCTGAGCAATGTCCAAAGGGCGGGTGGCAAGAGGATGGGGTCAGACTCTTCTTAGTGGTGCTTGGGGACAGGACAAGGGACAACAGGCACAAACTGGGACATGGGAAATTCCATCTCAACGTGAGGAAAAACTTCTTTCGTGCAAGGGTGGCAAAGCCCTGGAACAGGATGCCCAGAGAGGGTGTGGGGTCTCCTTCTCTGGAGACCTTCAAACCTGCCTGGACACATTCCTGTCCAACCTGCTGTGGTTGACCCTGCTTTGGCAGGGGGTTGGGTGAGATGATTTCCAGAGGTCCCTTCCAACCCCAACCATTCTTGGATTCTGTGATGTGTACTGGGGGGTTTCTTCTCAAAATCTATATGGGTTTCATGTTTTCCCTTTGCCCATTAAAAAGTTTTACGACTGGAAAACAAAAGGGTTCTGGGTCTGTGGGGTCCAGCTGGGATGGTACCTGTGGGCAGCAGCTTTCCAGCAGCTGAGGACATTTCTCCTGGCAGGCACGGAGGCTCTGCTTCTCCTCTGTGTCGTGAGGGGCTCTGTTTGGGGAATTGCAGCAGTTCTGCTGGTAGAAATCTAAGTTGTGTCCCACTGAAAGGGAGAAAACGGAGTTGGGGTGAAAACTCAACAAATGCTTTTGTCTGCTCAAATGGGGGAGCCCAAGCTACAGGGCATCTCCAGCCTTGTTTGAGCTCAGGTGAGAAGAGTTTTCTCAAAAATGCCCGGTGGAGCTTGGAGCCATTTTCTCTTGGTGTCTGACATCTTAAAGTATCTCCCAGCTGTCACTTTTATCCTGTTTCCTTATTCAAGGGAGGCTTTCTTTTGGGCTTCAGGGTATTTTTCTCCAGGGAGGCTCTCAGCAGGACCAGGTCCCAACTTCATGTGTCCCAACTTCACAGGAAAATTCAGAGTCCAGTGGGCTTTCCAGGCTCCTCCTTCCATGACAGCAGATTATCTCCTTCTTTCTGCTTCAAGGAAGATTGATAAATAGTTTCTAAAGCATTTAATTTATGCCCCTGGCTTTTTTTTCCTTGATTTTTGAGGCATACAAAAGTTTAAGGGGGTTATTTAGCAAATAGTCTTGTACATTGGGAGTGTTTTTTTTTTCCTTAGAAATGCTGGGGGTATTGGGCTTGAACTACTCTGCTTTTATTAAGGAGATCTTGGCCATGGCGAGTCATAGGCAGGAACATGAGTTTTTACCCAGTATTATTTTCTTCCAAATATTTTAAGTCTTAATAGTTTAATAGCCAAATGAGAAAAACTGATTTTGAACAACGCGCCTTCTCGAATTCCCTCTCACTTTTTAACTTTTTACTTCTCTGATACCAAAATTTTGTGAGGGCTTCATCTGTGTATGGGGAAAAAAAAATACTATCTGTGGGCCCAGATCTGTTTGTTGACGTAGTCCAGAGAAATTGGATGTGAGTTTTGGCAACAGTGGGTGCGTGATTTCGTTGTTGTGCCCGTGTGCACCCGAAATCACCGAAATTCGGTGGTTGGGACCATGGTGAGAAGGATGAATCGTTGTCCCCCTCTGCTGGTGGCACAGGGGGCTGGGGTTTTGCTCACCCTACCTGCAGGCTGAGTTATTCTGCAAGGAAATAGAGACTTTTAAAAGGTGGCAGGTGTGTGTGTATACGTCACTCAGGGTTTTAAATAAGCAGAAAACCCCTTGGCTTTGAGGAGTGTTCCAAATGCATTTTGAGGAGTATCTCGAGAAGAGCCGTCCTGCCTTTCCCTAGATGCAGCCCACGTTGCAGAAGAGCGTTTCCACCACAAGAAACAGAAATGGGGTGGAGAGAAAATGTGCTCTGAAAAAAGCAAATGCTCTGTCAGTCAGAGCACTCCCCGCAGAGACTGAGAGCATCCCTGCCGTCCTGCCGCTGTCCCCTGGGGTTGAGCTGCTCCATGAGGATGGGCCAAACATTGGGAGATGCTGCAAGGATGAGCAGGAGAGAGGGGAGCGTGTCCTGCAGGAGGAGACCAGCTCAGGATAGCACAAAATGCAGTCTGGAGAAAGGGTACTGCTGGTATTTAGGGGAAACATTCACAAGGGAGGGGGATAATCTGCAGAAGATACACAAAAAGCAGTGGTCCACCCAGGCTCTGAAACCTTTTAAGTGGTAAAGGATAAAAATCCCCTTCGGGTTGCTGAGATGAAGCACAAGAGGTGTGTGATGTGATGGTTAACAACGCAAAAGACCAAAGGCAGTGGCCGTGGGGAGCTGTGAGTCACCATCACTGGGGTGACCCTGGCAGAGGGACAGTCCTGTGGCCACCTGTAGGTGCCTGCAGGGGTGAGGGACTGCCCTGACCCTCTCCTGGCTGTCACCGGGTGCCATCACCTGTACATACAGTAACATTACTGTGCAGGACTGGGGAGAGATGCTACCGAAACTGAGCAGGAATTTGTCTTGTTCAGTGGAGACTTTTTGAAGATTAAAATGCATTTTTAAGAAGGTGAATTCCTGACACTGAGGGTGGGAATATCTGGAAAACTCGTTTGTAAACAGTTAAGTTAGAGCTTGGATGTTGGTTTGTTTGGTTCTTCCCCCAGAAAGAAGCCTATTGTAAATGATGCATCACTTAAAGTTCTTTTGTATTCTGAGAATTGCTGCTGTGATTAGAAACAAGAATAGGAGCTATTAAGCAAAACCAAAGAATGCTGCGTTGAAAAGCAACAATTTTGATTTAGGAATCTGCCAGGAGGCAAGGGTTTTATATTTCTCTTCACATTTTAAAACGTCTGGACAACCTTTTTAATATTATGCCCACACAGACATTAAAATATATTGAGTTTCAGCTGTAAGATATCTTGTTTAAAAGGGAGTGTTTTCAATTAGATTAGAGCTAATATCTTTAACCTTTTGCATTTAAATTTTCTGGTGCTGTGCAGAAATAATTACTGGCTTGTCTGCATGTTCCAGTAATGATGCTCAATTGCTTCTCCCCCATATTATTGCTGAGGGATTGTGTCTGGAAACTCAAATTTAGCATTAAAGTGGCAGGGATGGCAGGAACATGCAATTTAATTGTAGATACGTGCCGTGCTATTAAATGTTATTTTTTTCTGTGATAGTATCACATTTGCTGGGCATTTTCCAAGCACAAGGGAAGGTTGTGTGGCAGTGTCAGGCTTTCTCCAGAGTAAGCCTAAGGCTTATAAAGCAATATTCAGTGATGTATCAGATCAAGGCCTAATGGTGCTGCAGCAAAAACAACGTATATTTAATTCAAGTATGTTTTGGCAGAGATAGGAGAAGAGAAAAAGGGAGAGATGAAGAATACACATTTGCAGGCTCAGATGAGTGATGGGCGACGTTTACCAAACCAGCAGAACCGTCACATTTAGTTTAGAGACCTTTTGTCACATTTAGCTTACTGTCACACTTAGTTAGTGGCTGTCCCAGGAGACTGAAGTGGGAGGGTTTCCCCTTGAGAGCCCGAAGCTGTGGCTGGCAGACAGCGATGTGGGACCACTGCCAGGGCATGGGAGTCTCTCAGGAGATGCAGAACAGAGTCCCACGTCCTTCTTCTCTTCAGGAAGTCCAAATTCCATCCCCATCTGGCTCATTCCCATGCCAATTCTTTTCCAAAGGTGGAAAGGAACATAGTCGTGCCTTCCGAGCATCCATCTCTTTCGCTTGATGCTCTACCAGTAGGACTGGGATTAAGGAGACTTCTTACCAATGCCCATTCTTCCCCCTTCTGCTTCTTAAGTGTTCATGGAACATCTTGTTGATTTTATAGCTCTGGCATCAGACAGTACCTTAAATAGAGGCACTGTCACCCCTGCCATTAAAAAAAAGATGGTATTGATATATTCCAGGTTTACTTTGGATGATGAGGGCAACCTGTGATTTTGGGTGGGAGACTTTTGCAAACCAGCCCCAGAATACTGAGGTGGTTTGTGGTGTTAGATAGGGCTTAGAAAAAAGAAAAACTAGGCTCTTGGAAGGCATTAAAGTCATGTGAAAAAGGCGCTCCTTGTGAACAAGAATCCTCTAAGAAATGTGACCCTTGCTGTGGTACCCCCTTGAGAAGCTTCCTTATTCTCTGCTGCCCACCCAAAGCTTTCACAGAGAAATGAAAATGAAACAAATTTAAAAACTTGATAATCCGGAAAGGGAAGAAACAAAAGAGACCGGGGAAGAATTTGAATTAGCAATATGTAGTTAAAAACGTGAAGAATGAAGTGACCTCAAAAGCCATGAAGGAGGTAGAGCACAGAGAAGAATGCTCCTTTGGTGTCACAGCTAAGGGTTGCAATAAGCATGACACCAAACTGATGGTTGATACTCTGAAAGTATGGAAAAAACCAACAATGAATAACCAGGCTTTTCCCCTGGTTTGTTTTTTTTTGCCTGCATCTCAGTCAGATCACCCAAAGAGTCAAAAGAAACCAGTAGACCCCATAGACTCCTAGATGCTCACTCTGACTGTAATTGGTTGAGGCTAGATCCGAATCTCAGTTACATTAACAGAAAGATTCCCTCTAATTGCATTTTATCAGCCTGACCATGTATTTTGTGCCTCAAACTGTACAAAGCCATTCCTGACAATTTTTTTTTTTTTTTTTCTCAGCTGGAGTCAAGTTGCTTTTGGAGAGCGTGAAGATAATCCGTTTCAGCTGCGTAGAGGATCAGACAGTCACATAAATGCAGGTATGTTAGCTTTTGAGGTTTGGTTTTGTTTGGTTTTCGGTGGGAGGATTAAGTTTGTAAACTGTAGAATTGGTGGTTTGGGCTTTTGTTATTAATTGAGCTAAAGCTTAGTAAAACATGGAACAGAGACCCTATAATACCTGGAGCGTGTGTTCATCTGTTTCCTTCCGGTTCTTTCTATTTAAGCACTGGGTATAAAATGCAACATGCATTTTCTTTTGAGTCAGAGCTATTTGGTGTGCATTCTTGGCAGTCTAAAAGATATTGCATTAAACCTACTTAGTGCTACCCTTTCCTTCTGAAACAGAGAGAAGTAATAATAAAAAAATAATTCTCCAATGAAGCTCATTTCACCATGACATATTAAGTATCAGGAGTTTAAAAAACAAAGGGTGAGAGGGGAGAAAACTATCAGAAATATTTAGCTGTTAAGGAGATGATAAAAATAGAAGCTAACCTTTTTCTAACCTTTTTTTTTTTTTTTTTTTAAAGGCAATATAAATGGCACTGTTTATATTACCCAGCCTCAAGTGTTGTTTTTCAGCCAGTTAGGTGCTTAAGGATGGGAAAGTTATTCCTGCTTTACAGCAAGGAGAGAAAACTTCTGTAATAGTTGTGGAACCACCAGAACAGAGGGGAATGATTTGGAACAGAGATTCCACAAACAGAACAATCACTGACATTTATTTCTTTTTTTCCACTTTTCGTCTTACTTGCGAAAAGTACTGATTTTGAATAATAACATTCCCAATGTGAAGACTTGGAAAAATGGTATTGCAGTAGCCTCATTAAGCAATGCATTTGTGTTCTGAGAAATACTCAAACTCTTCTTCACATTTTGCTTAACTGTTCTTCCTCCCCTTTCAGTATCTAAACGTAAAAGAAGATTGCAAAGCCATGGCTTTCTGTGCAAAAATGAGGAGCACGAAGAAGAGCGAAGTAAACCTGGAAGCTCAGCATCAGGGTTTGGAAATACATTTCTACCTGCAAGATAAAAATCCCATTTGTTACACCAGTGGCGAGTTCACCTCAGAGGAGCTGTGCATTGAAGCTGCCCAGAAGTGTTGTGAGTATATGGATTTTATGTAAATTCTCAGTGGCAAGGCTTGACAGAATGGAAAGTGATGCATCCTCTCTGCGTGTAAGTCAGTGTTTGTAGAAGAAATATGCGTGTGATGGAGTCCAGGATGGAAACCTCTGCCAAGGGGCTGTTTGGGCAGTTCTTAAACTGTTTGGAGTGGAAGAAATGGTGGGAGAGACTGTCTTAAGATTCACATAAAGGAATGATCTCCCACCCTAGTTACAGGCACTGATGTTTTCATCTGGATGGGATGAGATTAGGGATGGGATTAGGCTTCTTTTAGGAGGAGAGGTTACAGACACCGATGTTTTCATCTTGCTGGGATGGGATTAGGCTTCTTTTAGGAGGAGACACAATATACAGATTAGTTAAAAAACCCCTTTTTATCTCCTATACTAGTTGGTAAGCCTGTCAAGATCTGTCCCATGTTATAAAGCATTTTGGAGAGGGCTAATGAGAACAAAGATTTGCTACTTCTGAGAACCCATTTGATACTTTACCACTTCCAGTTTTCTCTTCCATTACCTGATAATTCTTTGCAGAGTGTTACGATATCAATAGTATTAATAATTCACCAGTTAAAGTTAACCAAAATTGTGGTAACACAGAAATGTATAATGAAGACTTGTTGCTTTGTCGCTGTGCTCCTTTGACTCAGCAAAATACCTGAGTATGTATATATATAATTCTACTGGAATCAGTGGATTAATCTATGTTAGAGCCTCATGAACATGGGCCCCGGTGTATGGTGTGAACCCACATACTGTGCAGCTTCCCCAAGTAATTTCTGTTGGAAGTTTAAAACCTTTGAAGAAATTACTTTAAGTGAGCAGTCAGCTTTCCTTAAGGGAACTTCTTTCTTTTCCTTAAGGAAACTTCTTTCTGCCTTCTCTTGCTTTTCACTAAATCCACACAGCACATGGCAGTGAGGTACCCACTAATGGGTAAAGTCTTACCCATTTCAGGGAGGCTGTGATGCTGGTCTTGGCTGTAAATCACAGCTTGAATAATTAAACCATTGGTGGCACCTGTGTTCTGCTCGTTGCCCTGCAGAAGGCAGCGCCTGCCCAACCTCACCTTCTTGTGAACTTTGCAATTAGGCTGGTTGGGTTTTATTTCCTTGGCTTCCCTTCTGCTCTCTCTCTCTCTCCCCAAATCATGGTAGAAGTGGTTTCAGTGAATTCTGCAGGACCCCAACAAAGTGCTCTGCAGTTGGCATGATTTCAGAAAGACACTTAAGCCCACGCTGCAGTTCTCTCTGCAGTAGAGCTGCCTCCCTCCCCAGGGCTTTTGCAAAAAGGCACTGCCTCCCATTGAGTGGGAAACTGAAGTGAGGAATTCAAACAAGGGGAGACAAGTAAACATACCATAATCAGCCTGGTTTTCCTCTGGGATGATGTAAATGCAAAGGTTAAGGCATGTGGCCCTCGATGTATGAGTCAAAGTCTGTTCTTTGTTGGAAAACCCACTGTTGAATGAGCATAGACTGGAAAAATAGCACGTTGTGCTTTCTGATTGTGTTGTAATGAGAAGGGGATTTTCATCGTTTCACTAAACCCTTCTCTTCCAGCTATAGGAGTAAAATTTAGTAGTAAAATAAAACTGACAACAAAGTCGTATTGCTGAGTGGGTTTGTTAAAACACCTGTTTCTGTGATCTGGAAAAAGTGGAGATTTTTAAGTCATTTCCTCCTAGGTTCAGACCTTTGGCAAAATCAGAATTTCAGAGTGAGTTTGATGTTGAAAGTAGCTGAAATGATCTGCTGTTTAATGCACAGTAAAACCAGTGGAGTGAGCAGTTTGCAGTTCCACTTTAACCGTGACTTTCTAGTGTTTGCTTTAAACTAATCCTGGTATCAGTTTCTTTTCGTGGTCTCTTTTGTAAGTTCAGATATTTGCTTTATGCATTTGTATTTGTGAGGTGTGCGTATGCGTTCTAGCCTTGTGATTCATACGTTTGTTTACTTTCTCTCCCCACAGCTGTATCTCCTCTCTGCCATAATCTCTTCGCGCTGTATGATGAAAACAAAAAACTCTGGTATGCACCAAACAAGGTCTTTAAGATAGATGAAAAAACATCCCACCGGCTCCATTATCGAATGAGGTAGGTGCAAAATGCCTGAGAAATGATTTCCATTATCGAATGAGGCAGGTGCAAAATGCCTGAAAAATGATTCCTTAGCCATAGGTGGATGCTCTGACTCTTACTACTGAGCTCAGTGAAGAAGCAGGAAAGCAAAACCAAAAGCAGCAGCTTGCTTTTCACAGCATAGATAAGAGATTAACAGGAAAAGCTTAAAATGGCTCCTGATTTTCTTTTCATCTTGCTGTATAACCTTGAAAAAAAGCCCTAAAAGGTGAAAAACCACAAGAACCTGTATCCACCAAGCTGTCGGTGACGGAAAAGCTAAATTGAAACAAAAGGCTCCAAAATGTTGTTTTACTGTGTCAGTATTTTGCATTCTTTGATTTCCATTTGAAGTTCTTAAAGTGAACTGTGCTCCTGCTGAAAGCGATGGGAATTTTACTATTAATTTAGAAGGAAAAAGCCACGTGCTTTCAAGATTCTCCTCTGGGAGTGTAGGGGAATTGGTGTGACCTCGCTGTGGGTGGCGTGCGCTGGGCTGGAGAAAGTGCCAGAAAATACAAACCCTCGTTCCCAGGGTCTTTATCTGACAAGTCCCATCGGGTTGAGCTTCAGGTGGCACTCCTACAGCACGAAGCCTGTTGAGATTTGTGGGACTGAAGGGGTCCAGCAGCCCTCCTCCACTGGAAATGAAAATAATGCTGACAGCTCTTGAGCACTCACGCGCTCCAGCTAAAGGAATGGTGTCCTCCTTTTAGGATTTGATAGAAATCTAATTCTGAGTATTATACTGCCTTCTTTGGTTTATTATTTTTTTATTCCGACTTTTCTTCTTGCATCATTATGAGCTTTAAGTGTATGATACAGGAGAAAAAGATACAGAATGAGCTTTGCTTCCAGGAATAATTAGTCTAGAAATGACTCATCTTCCTAAAGCAAGTCCACAGATCATTTTTGTTGGTCCGTCAAGGTACAACTGGAAGAAAATAAGCTTCTACATAATATTACCCCTTTGCCTTAAAATGTAATACTCACATGCACAGTCAGTTTTGCGCTATAGAAAAAAAAAGTCAAGTGTTAATACAGCATTTTAACAGCTTTTTCCTGATAATCTCTAGTTAGACAACACGGCTATCGCTTGTACATGCTAATGAGAGAATTGGCAGATGTAAACCCCAGGTTGTGCACCACACAGTCAGTTTTGGGCTATAGAGAAAAAAATGTCAAGTGTTAATACAGCATTTTAACAGCTTTTTCCTGATAATCTCTAGTTAGACAACACGGCTATCGCTTGTACATGCTAATGAGAGAATTGGCAGATGTAAACCCCAGGTTGTGCACCCAAGCCAGTTTCTAGACTTTTTGGAGAATATCAGCCTTTTTGCTTGTACAGATTCAAAGACAGAGCTTTGTGAATATGATTTTTAACTTTAAGCTATTTAAATTCTGATTATGTTTCTGCCAGACTGATACTGTTGTTGTTGTCTGATGAACTGTTCCAAGAAAAAAAGACTGACAGTCAACAAAAATATCTTTGCTTTTCAAATAATTATAATACCGATACCTATTTTTAGAAGAGGAAAGGGATATTATAGTCTCTTCTTTTTTCTTTAACACAGTCTGTTAGTGGTGTTAATGACTTAACCTCAACTAATCTCAGCTTTAAACAGCTGTGATTCAGTTTGGCAGATAAACACCGTACAATAATGGCATTGAGTGACTCTCTAAAAGAAGCTCTGAGGACTCTAATGGCCTCTTACAGAGCATTAAGTGCCCTTTCTTGTTTTAAGAGATCAGTCAGATCAACCATATACTGGATAATAAAAAACATTTATTGGTATAATCTAAATCTGGGGCATTTTTCCCGATACTGAAATTCTTTGATGCGGTCTGCTTTACTGGTATTTGAAAAATGTAGTTGTGGTAATGTAATCCTCTGATTAGAGGCATGGTGCTGTTTATAACTCAGTTATTAAAAGATAGTTTCCTCTGTGTTTGGTGTTTATTATAGTTTCTGGTTTGGGTAAAGGGTTAGAACTCTCTCCACATTCTCCTTCATTCCTACTGCGTCTCACCTGCCCGGCTTTAAAACTGCCTGAACAGCTCCCTCTTACAGATCTTCTTTGGCTGTTCATAACTCTATCAAATTCTAGGTATACAGGAAAAATTACTCTATGGTGAAATTTCGTTTCTGGAAATTCTTCCGTTTGACAATTTTATAGAATGAGGCTGGTAAATGCCCTGCTTTCTGTATTTAAAAGTTCCGGTCGTTTATTTTTTTAAGCTTTGGAGTTGGGATTTGAAGTTTTGGCAAGGGCATCTCTTTTGTCAGATGTATTTCATGCATGAAAACTGGCAAACTTTGGGTCCTTTAAAAGTTCCGGTGGTTTATTTTTTTAAACTTTGGAGTTGGGATTTGAAGTTTGGCAGGGGCATCTCTTTTGTCAGATGTACTTCATGCATGAAAACTGGCAAACTTTGGGTCAATAATACGTATTTTAAATAATTTCATATGCATCTAAGAAGAGACTATGTGAGTTAAGCGCTAAAATCTAAAGATCCCTGTCTCCCTAGGAATATTGTAGTGTATTGGTGAAGTGATACTTTCTTTTCTTTCATTTCTGATCTATTGTGTGTTTTGGCTGGGCATCGGAGCTGGGAGCAGGGCTGGGGACTGAAAAATTATGAGCAATGCAGGATTGTGAAACTGTTCTCTAAATGAATACTGTTCATTCTGAGCTCTGCAAGAGGCAGAATTCCTCTTGAAAAAGGAAAATGGTCTGGGCTTATTTAATAGTGCAGTGTGTTAGGGTGTGTATGATCATTTAGAGACTAAATCATTTTTATGTGGACAAGGTGGTTGCTGAAATCTCATTATATCGATAGATTTGATTTAGTCATGCCCTATTGAAATTGTATACATAAAATGAAAATATGTGACTGAGTAGTTTCAATTGCTTTGAGATGTTTGATTTTTCTCCCACTGCTGGGAGCTTTGGAGTTGATTTCTGATTGCATGGACTTCCTGTCCTCCTCCTCTCCCCAACACATCTCTGCCAGCTGCTCTACTTTTGGTACTATTCCAAAAGGACTTTTCTTTTCACTAGAAGCTTTGTTAACTAGCCCTATATTTCTTTCACTTGCTTCAAGATATGAAAAAAAATAAACTGTCTACACCATAAGAAACCATGGTATTTTGTAATATCCGGGACTAATTAGCACACCAGCTGATGGAGGAGGAGTTTAACTGTTCGGTGGCTGGGTTGTGTCTGAACCAGACGCAGGAGCGGTTCTTGCCATGGAGAAGAGACCCAAGACATGAGATTCTGGAAACCCTGGAGAGAAGGACTGTCAGAGCTGTTCTCAGGGAGAGGACTGAAGGGCTAAATTGCTCCTTCCTGGGGTGACCCACTGGGGTTGACTCCCCAAATCGCCCCCGCTGGAGTGCCAGCCCTGGGCTAAAGGAGAGGTGGGACATGCTCCTGAAATCAGGAGCGTTCAGTCTCCCTTCCACCTCCTCGGTAGGACTTTGGAGTTGGGAAGCTTGTGTTCCCATTCCTGTTTGTGAAAGTGGAATTGCAATAGTCTGTCTCCCCCCTTACCACAAATCCATCCGTCTCTTCAAGGCGGAGACTCTCCCTCTTTATGTGGTTCCTCAAACAATGGGGCTCTAATTTTTATTGTAACTTACAAATGTTGTCTTAGTGCAGTTTAACAGGGAAAGGAGCAAATTCTCCTCTCAATTACAAACAATACACGATACCTTGCCCATAATTATTTTCAGGAAATACCACAAGAATTGGAGTTATTAATTATCACTAATCTTATGAAGGAGCATACGGAAACCAAGTAATTTCCTGGAGGCAGAAGGATTTGCTTCACTTTGCTTTTTATGCTTCAGGCAAAGGAGTTGTGCAGTATCTTGCAGTACTGGTCAGGAGTTCATGACACAGTTGGGTGTTGGTGTTCCCACTCATGCTTTAGATACGTACTTTTGGGGGACTTAAAAAGATTCACCAAAAAGAAAGGATGGGCAGAAACACTGGACAGAAAGTCTTGTCTTTAAAAGAGAAATTAGATACATAATTCTTCATTTGAATCGTCAACTTGCTGTACAGATAACACGTGATTTAAACACATGGCACTGATCTAGAAATGCTAATTTTGTTTTGCTTTTAAGATCTTGCCTCTGGACTGAAACTGATACACACCAGTCTCAACCACTGCAGAACTGGGACTTCATCCATGAACTCCCAGTCTGGTCAGAGACAAGTCACAAAAATACAGTCACGTATTTTAAAACACACAGCTTTGCATGTGGGTTGTTCTGCACCATAATGTTCATAAACATTTGCCAGTTGACTTATGGTCTTCCTGCAGTCTTTCTGTCTTCCAGGACACGTCTTTTGACATTTTTATTGTGTTATATTTGAAATGGAACTGCTCGGGCAGCATAGTGATTTGTTATTTAAACTGATTTCTTATTTGCGATCTCGAAATGTGTTCGTAGATTATAAGGTAGTTCATTAAGCTTTTTTTTCTTTCAGTACAGAAAATGTGTATTTCCAATTCAGGACTTAGATATACCCATCACATGCCTCAACATTTTCTACCTAAAACCTTAGGGTTTTTCCACTTGCTTTTTCTTTACTACTTCTTTTAAGTGCAGTGTCTATTACCATTCTCATTCGTTTGTCTTTTTCCTCTGTAAAGCTCTTTGGTGTCATTTTGGTCACAAAAATTCTTTGTGATTTTGATCACATGTTTAAGTAGTCATTAAAAGCTTTGCTGTTGAGATGTCATGGTAATGTGAAACAAATTATGTGATGCTCACAGTGGTCACTCTCCATCCGAAATTTCCCACCACCCTTTGGATGACTGCAGTGATATCTATCTATACAGCGAGGTAATTCTGCATCGTTTGCTCTTGCTCATGCTGCATGCTCCTCTGGAATTAGATTGACAGGTTCTTACAGAAATCATCCCTACTTAGCAATTGGGTAAATCTGCTCTGCTGGAACCTTTTAATTATAAGTAGTTTGTGATCGTGCCCAAGGCATGAGCTTTTGCAAAAGGCGCGTTGATTCAAACCAGATTTAACTAAACTTTACTTGGTTTCAGTGTTACCAGAAGCCAGATAGACACAGATTTCTGGAATAATTCAGGCAAAGATTTCTCAAAAGGCGCTAACAGAGCTTGAATTCAAAATCTTCGTTCATTTTCAGTAGATGCCAACTCCTTTAGCAGGTTTTAGGTGGAGGCTTTACACTCTCTTACACTGCTCAAGCCAAGTCAGAGGTGATGGAGGCACCAGGAGGCCCCTGAGCAGTGTCTTCTCCTGTGGTGGACTATGCAGGGATGTGACAGGCAGTCAGTCGGGGTGTTGTGAGTTAAGAGTGAGCTGCTCTTGATTGGAAATGCTGAAGACCTTGGACTAATAGACCATTTTTCCCCAGTTCCTCAGGCCAGGCATGCCATTTCAAGCAATGGGCCACTTTAAGTTGCAACCTCAGGGCAGAAGATTGAGGGATTTTGACGTGTAACTGGTTTTCTTTTCAAAGTTTAAATTGGGCATCTAATGTAAACAGAGAATTTCCCCCAAAATTTTTAAAGTTTATTCCTTTTTTCTTGCAAGATACTACTTCACAAACTGGCATGGGACTAGTGAAAGTGAACCCTCGGTGTGGAGGCACTCGCCAAGGAAGGCAAAGAGCTCTTACGAGAAGAAGACAATGCCAGAAGGAACCCCTATACTTGATGCAAACTCATTAGAATACATCTTTGCACAGGTAAGAGGTTGCTTGCAAGTAACTCTGGCTTTGTGGTTGCAGAAAAACAATTTGATTCAGTAGAAGCTGCCTTAAAGACCTCTTTTCAAACTTTTTAAGTCCATGTAGCCTTACCTGTTAGTATTGATAAGTGTTTTCTTCGTACTTCTGCGTGGTGGAGAGAATTTGCTACATGAAGAACAATCTACCCATAAGCAGGAGGTGTTAAGAAACTGCCAGTCTCACAGTCTAAAAGGGCTGTATTTTTATTGGCATAGTTTCTTTTAATATTAAACATTTTTGGATAAAAACGCTATCACCTTTTCTTCTGCAAAACATTTGCACATAATGAATTTTGACATCTCTTGTGCTATAGAGGATCAGTCGTGGTATTTAAACTGACAGAATGGTGTCCTTTTAGTGAGTCTTCTCCCACTGAGCGGTGTTAAAACACCGACTGACAAACCCACTGTCACTCAGCCTGTTCACGGGTGCTTTTTCTTTCCTGCTGTTGTGAGTCCAATTAGTTGGATGTGGCAAGTAAGCTGGGTCCCTATTTCCAAAACCTTCTTGTGCTCTTTTACAAAAAAAGTTCATATACACACAAGTGATTGTGCAAGTGAGAAACTGTCTGGTTTTGTCGAAGAAATGGGAATTGAAGTTGATGAAAGTTTGTGAAGTGAGCAAATTAAATGCACTAAAGAAAAACCATGTTTACTGTTAATTCTGAGTATAATTTCTGCAGAATTTTCAGTCTCAAATATGGTTGTCGCCTTCAGAAAAATGAAGCTCTTCCAGTGAATCCTTGTTGTTTTGTTGTGAAACCACAATAAAATACCAAGTAGACTACAACTATGGGTACATTTTAATGGTACCACTTGCATTCTAAAGTAATGAAGCAAATAGGTTTTTTCTGTGTGATCAAACTAACTTAGACCTTATTTCATATGAATATCCTTGCCTACATGTATGCAACTTTGCAAAATCACTGTTTGAAAACCTGCTGCGAACTGGGTTTTGGCCTTTCTTTGTTTTTTTTTTCCCTTTTTTTCCTTTTTCTGAATGCCAGCAAGAAGAATGAAAGCACCTTTTAAGTTGTGGAATGCATAGGGACCCTAGGGGATTTTGTCAGGCAATATTGTATTGCGGAATTTTACTTTGGGGTAATAACATTTTTAAAAAAATAAATCAGAAAAGGACTAATGCTGATATAAGGCAACAGAAATGCTCTTTGGTGACCAAATATTTTCCAGACTGTCCCAGAGCAAGGTGATGCCGTAGGGTTTTCAGTCTTGGCTTTGGGATGGGGCTTAGAGCCTGAGTGTATGGGGTTCCTAGAGACACCAGGTGATGAAGGGGCAGAGATAAAGCAGAGACACAAAATATTTATTGTGTACCAGAAAAATAATTATGATGGTGCTGGAAGGGTGCAGGGGTGGTGCTTTCCTCAGTTAATTAAAAAGCAAGTGAATTTTTGGTGGGCTAATGTATAGAAGGACAGGATAGGGGAGTTGCAAGTGTCTGAGCAGTGCAGGTGTTCTACCTGGCTGTCCACACACCTTCTTGGTGAAAGCCACAACTTTGTGGACTGTATGTGGGATGGGTGTGTTGTGACCATCCTGTGATTCCATTTAGTCCACAAACTGTCATTTTAAAAGACTTCTGGCAGGCACAAATGTTGGTGTTTCTTCTCAAACAGGCAGGGCTTGTGGGGTGAGTAGCACTTGCCCATGTTCCACTGGTCTAAGAGAAGACTTCATCCATTGCACAGCTCTTCCCTTCTTCTCCTACCCCTTCCAGTCCTGGCTTTTGGTTTTGGGTGACTCCTCTTGCTTGAGGAGAGCTGTGATCTTGTGACGTGTTGCTCGCTCATAGATAAACTAAGACAAATACCAAATCTGATAGCTTTCTTTTCTTCCTTCCTCCTAAGGGTCAGTATGACTTAGTGAAAGGCCTGGCACCAATCCGTGATCCTAAAAATGATCAAGAGGTTCATGAAATCGAAAACGAATGCCTGGGGATGGCTGTCCTTGCCATCTCTCACTATGCCATCAAGAAAAACGTGAAGCTTCCAGAGCTTCCCAAAGATATCAGGTGAGCTGGGAAGACTTCTTTGTCACTGTTGGGGCTGCTGTGCTTCTCTGCCAGAAGGGATTTTAAGCATTTTACCTTCCAGGGTCTGAATGCACAGGAAATACAAGCTGCAACGCTGCTAGTGCTACCTGGATCTTCCTAATCTTGTCAATACGTATTAGAAAACCTGATTTTTTTTTCCTCATCTGGAGAGTATTTCAAATCTATGCAAGCATGCCAACGCTGCTAGTGCTACGTGGATCTTCCTAATCTTGTCAATATGTATTAGAAAACCTGATTTTTTTTCCTCACCTGGAGAGTATTTCAAATCTATGCAAGCATGTTGCTGTAAATTCAGGGTTCTGTGTCAGTAGGTTCAGAAATGGCAGTGTTGTTAATTAGCAACCAAATGAGAAAACTGTTAGAATAAATTGTTTTATTGACTTTATTGATTTTATTGATTTGAGTGGGTTGTATCCATCCAGCTTTCAGATAAGGTTAATATTTGAATTCCCGTTGGCTATTAATGCTGTAAATCACTGCTACAGTACCAACTGCGCAGTGATTTACTGCATCTTGTTCTCTGCAACTTTCAAAGTAAGGCAGTTGCACTTTTTAGAAAGTTAAAAGCTTAGGAGACAACAGTATTAACTTATAACGTTGTTTTTCCTTCTAGTTATAAGCTTTATATTCCTGAAACGTTGAACAAGACGATCAGACAGAGGAACTTCTTAACCAGGATTCGGATAAATAATGTTTTCAAGCATTTCCTTAAAGAGTTTAACAACAAAACCATTTGCGACAGTAGTGTGTCTCCACGGGATCTGAAAGTGAAATACTTATCAACAATGGAGACCTTGACTAAACATTATGGAGCAGAAATTTTTGAGACTTCGTTTTTGCTGATTTCATCTGAGAATGAAATCAATCGATTTAATTGTGGAGACAACGAGAACCCTCAAGTATATGAAGTCATCGTAACGGGAAACAACGGAATTCAGTGGAGGCTCAAGCCAAATGTAAGTATTGCTTGAAAAATGGGAATTTGAAGATTGCTTCTGGGGATATGACAACTGTTTAAAAGTGGTCATGATCTTTGGACACTGCAGACCAGCTCTTTATTGAAAGGAGTTCTTTCACAGGTTGGAAGGGACCTCAGGAGGTGTCTAGTCCCACCCACCCCCCCTTCATGGTTAGCTTTGAGATCAGACCAGGTTCCTCAGAGCTTTATCCCTTCTGGTCTTAAAGGAAGGACCCTGGGCAACCTCTTCACCAGGAAAAGTAAAGTCTGTACTATTTCTGCCAGTCCAGACACAAGTTTTGAAAGATTAATATCTGTGGTGGCCCTCAATATTGAATCTGATAATGCTTTTTGTGTATGGGGCATCCCAGGTGCTGTGTTTGCTCAAACTCCTAGACTTTTCATGAATAAATTAAAATATAGTGATATCTTCCCTGGAAATGTTCAAGGCCAGGCTGGATGGAGCTTTGAGCAACCTGGTCTAGTGGGAGGTGTCCCTGCCCAGGGGAGGGGGTTGGTACTGGATGATCTTTAAGGTCCCTTCCAACCCAAATCATTCTGTGATTCGATTGTTCTATATTGAATTTAAGCTTTTTCACATCAGTGATATTTTGTATGTTGTTCCTTGCTTCAGTGCTGCTAATTGAGGTCACTTTGCTTAACCTCTTCTGTACTTTGTGTACAAAAATATTAAATATGCTCTAGGTTTGAAGGGATTATGGTATATTCTATATTTTTTTCTCCACACATAATACTTGAACAAGCAGACCTCTTTTTGCTTGCTGCAGTTCCCCCTGGTGATGAGAACCCTACTGATAGCTATCTTTTTTTAACACAAAAAGCATTGTGCTTTGCTCAATTTAGATATAACCCAACTATCTCTATCTCTGATGGAGAATTTCTCTTTTAAATGATAGTATTGATGGGGGGTGGAGGAGGGAAGGAAGAACTGATCTTTGAGCAGAAAAACTTGCAAGAAGTGCAACCTGTTTCTTGTAAGGCTTCTGTTTCTGCTGATTTATAGATTATATTTATTTAAATGCCTAAACCAAAGACTTGCATCTCAGCGAGAACCTTTCTGTGACTAGCAGGACGCTTTGCTCAGCCTGAACATTTATCTTTTTAAAATAAGTAGTTGCTCATAATTTTCACTAATTTGTGGCCTGTAAGGTGCTAAGCTTCGTGGTGGTTTGCAGGCAGAATTTCACCTGCCATCAGCAGTTTGGGTGTGCAGTGCCAAAATTCGGTGCAAAAAGCATTCCATAAATAGCCAGAGAAGATTAATTTGTCATAAATTTTTGTTTTAGAGTAAAAATGCTAAAAAAAAATTGAAATGTTTTTATTAGTATACCTTTATCCAAAATCTCTTTGCAGTCTGTACAGACGGAGAAAGAGAAGAAGAAAAAATCTGACAGCGTGCTAAGAAAAAAATTTGAAATGTTTTTATTAGTATACCTTTATCCAAAATCTCTTTGCAGTCTGTACAGACGGAGAAAGAGAAGAAGAAAAAATCTGACAGCAAAAACAAAAAGGATGAAGAAAAACACAGAATTCGAGACTCATGGAACAATTTTTCCTATTTTCCTGAAATCACCCACATTGTCATCAAGGAGTCTACAGTCAGCATTAACAAACAGGATAATAAAAGGATGGTAAGAACCAAACCTTGGGGAGGTTTCCCTCCCATGGGAATCTCTAGTGTTGTTGGGCAACAGGGGATAACTTCCTTTAGGAAGTTCCGTTTTCTAACAGGATTCTTAAATAAAGGCCTTTCAGAATTCTTTACTGAAATATCTTTCTGTTGTAGGAATTAAAGCTGTCCTCACACGATGAGGCCCTGTCGTTTGCGTCATTGATCGATGGATATTTCAGACTCACAGCAGACGCCCACCATTACCTCTGCACAGACGTGGCTCCCCCCCTCATTGAGCACAACATAAAAAACGGATGCCACGGACCCATTTGGTTAGTAAAATGTCTGATTTTTATTGTTCTTTTATTGCACTTGAATAATTAGTCCTCTGATACTGCTGCATAGTGAATCCATGGAGAAAATCTGACATTTGGAAGGCTGTTAGTTCCCAAAAGGTTGTAGAACAACTTAGTTTTGCTAAGGATTATATTGAAAAAATACTTAAGTCATTTATAAAACCAGTTTTTCCTCACTATAAGAGTATTTTGAGTAGTAGTTTTTCTTCACTCTAGGAGTATTACTTCACTAATAGCTATAAAGATCATTATTAGTTGAACAGATGGGAATATTTTAGGTAAACAAGAGTTGAGCTGTGTCTATGCTGATCCTGGGAGCCCTTGGGTGGATGAACAAAGCCTTTGTTTTATTAAATAGCTATTTTTTCCCTTCTGCTCACCTTGTTGGCTTTTCCTTTTATGTTTGAAAGTGCAATATGTAGAAAACTGAGAGCTTATGTGCACACTGTGTTGGATGCAGAATTACCTCATTAAGCATGCTAAGGGCTTAATAAATCATTCTTCCCTTGCTCTGTGCAGCTAAATGTGAACATGTTTAATGCGCACAATTAAACCATGTTTTAATAATAATATAAATATTTCTAAGTTGCTGTTACGCATTTTTGTTCCAAATATAGGATTACTGCCCTGTGTGTTTACTAATAATAGATTTTGGGGTGCGACTGCTCATTTGTTGGTTTTCCTCATTTGTACCTCGACTCTTTCAGCACGGAATATGCCATCAACAAGCTGCGGCAGGAGGGGAACGAAGAGGGAATGTATGTGCTGAGGTGGAGCTGCACCAACTTCAACCACATCCTCATGACAGTGACTTGTTTCGAAGGCTCAGAGGTACGTCAGGTGCAGCGTCCCCAGCACTAATCTGGTAATCGGCTCAAAGCCCAGCAGCCCCCTGTAATCCATGTTGATGTATTTATGTTCTTTAGGGCAGGCACCCTTGTCTTTGTTGCTTTCTGGAGCAGCAGAGGGTAGATAATTGCACTCAGAGCTTTGTTGTCCCCAGACCCGTGTGCTATCACTACATTTATGCTCTATCACAGAATCACAGAATCTTAAAGATCATCTTGTCCAACCATCAACCTAACTGACAAAAATAGACACCCACACAACAAACAAGGAGCATCATCACTAAACCATACCTCCCAGCACTTCATCAACCCGTCTTTTGAACACCTCCAGGGATGGTGCCTCAACCACCTCCCTGGGCAGCCCATTCCAATGGCTGATAACCTTTTCAGTGAAAAATTTTTTCACTGAAATCCAGCCTGAACCTCCCCTGGGGCAACTTGAGGCCATTTCCTCTTGTCCTGTCGCCTGGGACTTGAGAGAAGAGACCGACCCCCATCTAGAAACACGACTCATTACAGGCTGAGAGAGTTGGGGGGGTTCAGCCTGGAGAAGGGAAGGCTCCAGGGAGACCTTCCAGCCCCTTCCAGTCCCTAAAGAAGGGGGGGCTCCAGGAAAGCTGGGGAGGGACTCTGGATGAGGGAGGGGAGCCCTAGGAGGAGGGGGAAGGGTTGGACCCTGCAAGAGGGGAGATGGAGCTGAGATGTGGGGAAGAACTTGTTTGGTGTGAGGGTGGTGAGAGCCTGGCCCAGGTTGGCCAGAGAAGCTGTGGCTGCCCCATCCCTGGAGGGGTTCAAGGGCAGGTTGGAGGGGGCTTGGAGCAACCTGGTGTGGTGGGAGGTGTCCCTGCCCAGGGCAGGGGGTGGCACTGGGGGGGCTTTAAGGTCCCTTCCCACCCAAACCATGCTGTGATTCTATTACATCCAGAACATTTCCATTCATAGCAATTAAACTGTGCATGAACATGATGGAAATGAAGCTTTTAAAACTCACATGGTGTGAGAACGACGTAACAGAATTTGTCACTGCAACTTATCTGATGTTTCTTGAACATGGGTTTAATTATATGAATGTATTTCTGCTGACACCCTGTGAGAGAGCAGTGCATGAGGGTGGTTGCCTTCACGTGTCGCGCACCACAGAAGGGCACAGACTCACAGTTTGCTGGTGGAAGATATTGTATGTAAGATGAGCGATAGGTAAAAGCTGATGAGATAGGACAAGTGAGAGAACCAGTTAAAAGCAGAAAAGGCAGCAGCAACTGCACAGAAGTTTGGATTTTACTGACCTCTGTTGGAAGTCTGCAGCTAGTTTGGGGAAGATACTTAAAGTGTTCACACAAGAATAATAATAATAGCATGAAGGCGTAGAAGCTGTTTTCCTTCTCTTAGAAAAAAGTGTTAATAGGATCAATGGCGAGGTCAAGAAGGGACATTTAAAACAAGAAACAATAAAGAAAGAGGTGGTGGGAAGCTGCAGCACGTTAGAGGTGAGGAAGCAGGAGCAGAGGGTAGAACTTGAAAGGGCACGGGCTTGAGATTGGTGAGTACGAAAGTTCAGTGGTTCTTCCTCAACAGCTTTCAACGAAACTGGGAGGTTTGAACAATAGCCTGAAATCTCGTTTCACTTGTTGGACGATCTGGGTTGTGAAAGGGAGTTTTGCTGTTTTTAAGTTGAGATTTTGAAACAGTGAGCCAAATTCTGCAATTCTTGACCGAGTGAAGAGAAAATTCCTTCTGAAGAGTTGAGGCTTCTGCACACTCTCAGGCTCTGCAAGACACAGAAGCCAGAATCGTGTTGTTGGATGATGGCATCTTTATATTGCTCTTCTTCCACTATGTTATGAGCTTTTCTGGGACTGAAGTTTATAGGAATTTTAGGGCCTTTTCCTACTTCGGACTCCTACGTTGGAGTCTGATTAGAGGATGCTAGTCTAGGAGCAACTGATTAACTGGTCCTACGTGTAATTTCAAAGGCTTCAGGGGAGCTCTTATGGCTTTAAAACATTCTTTCACTTTAATGATTATATTTCCCTTCCTTTTTTCCCCTCTTTCCCCCCTAATAGCAGATGATAAATAATTCAATCCAGTACAAGAACTTCCAGATCGAGGTGAAGAAAGGCGGGTACTTCCTACATGGTTCAAACAAGTCTTTCTCCTCCTTAAAAGAGCTGATGGATCACCTGAAAGGACAAATACTTCGGACAGACAACATAAGCTTTACACTGAAGAGGTGCTGCCAACCCAAACCAAGAGGTAGTTTGTCCTTTATAATAGAGGCAACGAGCTTTGGTGTCGAAAGGAAACAAACTCCAGAAATAGGAATGTCTTTGGTTTGTTCTGTATTCTTGTGTGAAGCTCTTTTGTCATTTCAAAAATGACATAAGAAGTTTCTTCCTTCTCAGTGGAGGGAGGAGTCTGGCCAAAAAAGCAAAAGCAAACGCTGTGAGCAAGGTTTTAGGGGTTTCCTCCCAGTGATGTAAGCTCAGCACAGGATGCTCAGGGGCCGGTGCTTCTTGGGAGCCTTGTTTGTGTGAACTTCTCAAATGACAGTGAGAAAAGTTCCGGTTTCTCTTGGTTTTTCTTTTGCGCCTACACCAGCTGTAGCCCTGCGGTATCCACAGCAGAGGTGGAACTGGAGACTTGTTTTAAGCAGAAAATGTCAGGGCTGACTCAGAGGCAGGGGCTGAAACGCTGCGGCGGAGCGGGGACTATATAAGGTTCTTCCTTTGCTCCACCGAGTCACGTATACATCGCGCTGCGTTCCTCTGGCACAGGAGGGCTGCAGCCTGGGGTTTGATGCTCGTTTGCTCTCATCATGAGCTGTTTTTTGCTCTATTAATCTTCAGGGAAGGCTTGATCTGCAACTGTTCATGGTCAGAACAGCCTCACAGTCCGTCAGTCCATCTGCGAGGGCAGATTTCAGAGGGCTGGGACAGTCATGCGTTTGTTAAACTGTTAATTGCTCACTAAAATCATTTCTTATGAGCTTCAAGCGTCTCGCAGCTGAATTTTGTATGAAAGAGGAAACACAGTGGCGTGATTGTGTTGATCAGATAATGGTTTCCTGTTAGAATAAGGGGAATAACTGAGCTACATTAATTACCTGCGTGTTCTGACGGATTTAGAGGAGAGCTCTGTAGGTAGACACTGAGCTTGTCAACACTTTGAAGAACGTTGGTGATTGTCTGGAGCATGGGGAGATTATACATTTTTGACATTCCAATTACATTTTGACAGCTGTATTTGGAATGAAATCAAGTGGGTGAAGGAGTTGACTTCCCATTTCAGCTTTTCATTGGCATCAGTTACAGTAGGATCCAGGGCATTATCTGTGCCTGTCTCTTCCCTGTTTTGTTGTTGTTTTTTTTTCCTTCTTTTTGAATCTATTTAATTTAATTCACAAAGAAGTTTAGGGGATGCAGAAATGCATTTTTTCTGGCGCACAGTTCATTACTGATTGTTTTCAGGGTGCTGGATCACAGTTCAGCCCTGACGCAGGCATTCTGCTGGCAGTAATGGGAAGGGCAGATGCACACAGAGATCTAAGCCCATCCCAGCGTAATTAATAATCCCTGCTTGTCAAACAGGGGAAAGGAAAAATCCATGTGTGAGACTTTTGGATCTAACCCTGCCTCTCCCTGACCAGAGGTGGGCTGGAGGAAGTGCAGGGCTGTGGAGTCTTTTCCTTCTGTTCATTTCCCATTCCCCAGTTTAATTCCAGTGCTCTGGAAACAGACTGGAACTAAGAGATTGTTAGTATTTCCCAGAGACCAGGACATTTTCAAGGAGGTAAAGAGGGAAAACAAGACTCTACCCCTCACCCATCTGCGCCTTGGAAAGGAGTTGTACTTGTTAGCAGGAGAGAGTGTGTGGGTTTTTTACTTAAAGTATAGCAGAGATGTTTCTTCTTTCTACCCTGGGTATTTCTGCACAGTAAACACTATCAGTTTCTTAATAACAGCCCCAATATTGCTAATATTCAGATTGTGTATATAATGTAAAATATGCAGCTCTATTTTAGTGAATTCTTTGTTGAATTGCAGAGTTGAGTTGAGAAATTAAGTCCAGGTTTCTTCTTTTCTTCCTCCTTATTCATTTGGGGATTTACCTTGCATTGAGCATATATAATAATGTTACTGACCAAGAAGGTTATATTAGAAAACCCTTAAAGACTCTTTTCTTCTCCCTACCTTCCAGAAATCTCCAACTTGCTTGTTGCAACCAAGAAGGCGCAGGAATGGCAGCCCGTTTACCACCTGGGGCAGCTGAGTTTCCACCGAATCCTCAAGGAAGAAATCATCCAGGTGGGCAGCTGGGTGAAGCATTTAAAAGCTCTGAAGAGTCTTAGCATTTAAAGTTTGACATTTCAAGCTGATCTAGCACCCAAATTTTCCCAGATTTTCTGATGTAGTCTGTAGTTAGTGATGCAGGTGACCTGAATAAGTTTCAAAAATCGCATAGTGGCTTGAAATCCCATTTGATGTTTCTAAAAGAGCTGAGCTTTTAAATCATGCAGTTAACTTCTCCAGTTAAATAACAAGTTTGGGGTGGTTTTTTTTTTTGAAATGGCATCACTGACCAGGGAAGACGGATATAGATTAGGTTCATTGTTTCTTGATTGGTATATTTACAGTCAGCACACAGGCTTCCTGCAAAAATACCCACGGCGGAATCCTCTGTTATTTAGGAGGAAATTGCTTTCCCAAACAAAGCGTTCCATTGAAATATTACTTCCTCTGACTTCTGGAAACACATTAAAGATTGCCTCAATAGCAGCTTATTGTAAATAAGATGTCAGGTGTTATTTATTCATTTGGTGTTTTAGTCTAATGATGTTAGATCACGGTGAAGCTGTTTGATGGAATGGAGATGTATGGAGATCTTTAATATCAAATGAGTTTACAGTCGGAGTATGCTCAGAGACACCACTAAAGCTGTCACTGGTTTCTCCCTGGAATAACTCTAAGTCTATATGAAGCTAGATAAATGGCAAGCTAGGTCCTCTCTCTACTTGGAGAGGCAGAACAGAGTGCAGATTTGAGTATTTGTGTAAGTTTATGCTTGTTTCCTTCGTGTCCTGGTTTGAAAAACAAACGGTGTGTTCTGTCTTAGGGAGAACATCTTGGCAGAGGGACGAGAACACAGATTTACTCAGGGATTCTCAACTACAAAGACGATGAGAATGAAGGCTATCAGAATGAAAAAGAGATTAAAGTCCTCCTCAAAGTCTTGGACCCCAGCCACAGAGACATTTCTTTGGCAAGTTTCTTTCCTTTTTCTCTGTTGTACTACAACTACTGGGCCTCGCCATCTTGTACGTGGTTAATGAGGAGAAGCCTTTAGAAGAAGGCTTATGTAGTAAGGGAATAAGAAGACACTGGAGGTGTATCTCACCATTTTAGGCAGTCAAATCCATATTGACCAGCATTTTTGAGATACTCAGTAAGCTGATCTCATTAGATGGGCAGCAGCATCAGATCTGGCTGCAGGACACCAATGCTCCAGACCATGAGTGCAAGGAAAATGGCCCCAGGCCTTGCTGTGGTGTGAAAAGCACCATCGAACCTGTACCCATGGTCTGGCAGCTGAGAGTGCTGGAGATCAGTGAGCAAAGAGCTTTGGTCACTTACAGACCTCATGAACAACAACCCACCTCTGACATGAGGGTTACAGACCTCATGAACAACAACCCACCTCTGACAGCCCTCCACTGCCCCATTGCTGCAGTAGGATGGCACATCCCTACCATTGTTAGCCCTTTATGTTACTGGAAAACACAGTGATCTTTTGCAAATCCTCTTGTTACTTGCTGCTCTGTAGTTGTTGAACACTTGGGTGACTCCCACGATGACCAGCAGTTTAATAACTTTCCTCTTTGGCTTTCCAACAGGCCTTCTTCGAAACGGCAAGCATGATGAGGCAGGTGTCTCACAAGCACATCGTCCTCCTCCACGGCGTCTGCGTCCGTGACGTTGAAAGTGAGTTGGGTGAACATCTCGGGAGGGACAGGGCAGCCACTCAGCTCAGAGCCAGCATGGGGGGAGGTGGGGTCAGCAGCTGCTGCCTCTTGATCATTGCAATGCAGACAGATGTGGAATTGGAAGACCCAGACAGCAGTCCTTCCTGCTAATAAGTTCCCCTTCCAGTGCTGTCTGTGACTAAGTGCCTCACAGGATGATTCCTGGAGACTGGAATGCCAGAGTGACAGTGGTGCTGTCGAAAGGCTGAGGGACTTGGGTCTTTTTAGTCTGGAGAAGAGAAGACTGAGGGGGGATCTGATCAACACCTATAAATACTTAAAGGGTGGGTGTCAGGAGGATGGGGCCAGGCTTTTTTCAGTGGTGCCCAGGGACAGGACAAGAGGGAATGGGCACAAACTTGAACATGGGAAGTTCCATCTCAACACAAGGAGGAACTTCTTTCCTTTGAGGGTGGCAGAGCCCTGGAAGAGGCTGCCCAGGGACGTGTCTCCTTCTCTGGAGACATTCAAACCCCACCTGGACACGTTCCTGTGCAACCTGCTCTGGGTGGCCCTGCTTTGGCAGGGGGTTGGAGGAGATGATCTCCAGAGGTCCCTTCCAACCCCATAGCATTCTGGGATTCTGTGTCCATACAAACCAGCCTTCTGGCAGACGTTACTTCCCTGGGAGGGTTTTGCCCTTGAAATGCTTTATTCATAGAATCACAGAATGGTTTGGGTGGGAAGGGACCTTAAAGCCCCCCCAGTGCCACCCCCTGCCCTGGGCAGGGACACCTCCCACCACACCAGGTTGCTCCAAGCCCCCTCCAACCTGCCCTTGAACCCCTCCAGGGATGGATGGGGCAGCCACAGCTTCTCTGGGCAAAGGTTCCAGGTTTACTGTTCATTTCCTACATAAATCCACTCTCCTCAGCCTGTTAATGTGGACTCTGAGATAAACTTTGAGGAAGGTGAAATAAAGATGGGACAGGGAGCTTGTCTGGGCAGGGAAGGTGGCAACAGGTCTATTGGGTTACTCCAGACAGTGGTTATCTCGATACTGACTTTATGCTCCTGACTTTGCAGATATCATGGTTGAGGAGTTCGTTGAATTTGGGCCTCTGGATCTCTTCATGCATCGGAAGAGTGAAGTTCTGACAACTCCCTGGAAATTCAAAGTTGCCAAGCAACTGGCAAGCGCGCTGAGCTACTTGGTAAGGGGGTGTCTTGGCACAAGCCTTGCCACAGAGGTGTCACATGCATGAGTAGCTAATGAACTGCCTTTCTCAGTGCAAGGATACTCTTTGGGTATTCTTTATGTTGCTTTAAATAAGGAGAAAGACTCTCAGAGAAGGTGGTGAGCTCCTGTTTTATCAGCAGGTCACCACAGGCTCTGTGCTTGCCTCTGCCACCGGTTCCACTGGGTGGCTGGGGACCCTGTCACAGCTCCCCCTTTCTGCAAGTATATTCTTTGTGAAAAAGGGATATAACGTTGCTCTTTTTCCCCAAATACACCAGATACCTGAGTATGAACAGTGTGTTTCCCTCCTCCTCCTTCCCCTGCTTTTCTCTAGCGTAATTTCTTCCAAGCTGTTATTTTTTGTGTCTCAGCGTGGGGCGTTTTGCAGTGATGCCCTGAGCTGTGGGTACGTTAGAGCATTTGACTCTTCTCCACTCACTCTTCTTTTCCCCCCCTGTACTGTAGGAGGATAAGGATTTGGTGCATGGAAATGTGTGTACTAAAAACATCCTCCTGGCAAGAGAGGGAATTGACACGGAATATGGTCCTTTCATCAAGCTGAGCGACCCAGGAATACCCATAACTGTGCTGTCCCGGCAAGGTATGGTACAGGAACCAGATTTCTCTCTTCAGTGTGGTGGGGAAGGCAGAAATGTCATTTATAGCAGCTAAAACTGGCTCTAGAATAGAAGTAATCGGCTTCCATGAATCTGAAAATGACATGGAAGTAAAGGAGTGTTGCTGATGGTGGGTGCTCATTGTATTCATTTCTTGTAAGAAGTCATGTTAAGTCTAGTGAAATACAGAAGGAATCTCAGTTTCTGCAGCAAGGGCTCAAAGCACAACCTGGTAAAAGCCACAGAAACATCCTTCTGAGAACGGGGCTTGGAGAATCAAAATTTCCCTGAAGCTAGACAAATACTGCAGCCTTACTTTGTTTTAATTATGCAGCTGTTAAACAAGAATAATTAAGTTAGAAAGCTGGTTTTTTTTCAGTCCTTTGATATTAACTGCAAAATACTTGGATTCTGTGTTTTACCCCAGAATGTGTGGAGCGAATCCCCTGGATTGCGCCCGAGTGCGTGGAAGACTCCAAGAACCTGAGCGTTGCAGCAGATAAGTGGAGTTTTGGTACAACCCTGTGGGAAATCTGCTATAACGGGGAAATACCGCTGAAAGACAAGACGTTGGCAGAGGTAAAACCACGTTACACAAACTTCACCTTGACTTCTCGGGTACAGCCTTTTTGGTGCTTCAGTTTTTATACCCAATTTGGGTTCCTTTCATCTTACAGGAAAACCAGCTCTGCTGGACTTGATAAGGGGCCGATCCATCTCAATTGCTGCATTTTTTTTGCAGGAATTCTTGTCCTGACTACAAAAATTGCTAATTATTCCTTCAACCTGAGCTTATTGGAGACTTACAAAAGTCAGCATCGCAACAACTAAACAGAACTTCCGATGCTCTCACACCTTTCCTAACCCCTCTGTCCAGTCACAAACTGACTGAGGTTGTGTTTAAAGAGCAACCAGGTTCTTCTGTTTCTCCTTGTTTCTCTCGGACGTTGGCTCAGAACTGGGGCACCGTTATTGCTGGCTCTGAAATCTTAAAAATATATATTAAATAACCCTTGTTCTGCCTTAGTGCTGGCAGTTTCTACCCATCACTGCCACGCTCCCTCAGCATCTGTTCCAAATTTTTTCCTCTCTGGAAGCCTGGCTGCGTTGGGAGGGCGCTGGAGCGGGGCTGCTGGGCTGGAGGAAATGACTGAGCACTTCATGAGTCACTGCCCAAGATGTTTGAAGAGGAGGTGGCTGAGAGGAACTTGCTGCCTCCGCTACAATCAGCTTCCTGCACGTGGCCCAACAGCTGGGGGGGGTTCTGCAGAGCTTAGAAAGCACACAACACCCCCCCCAAACTCATCCCTTCTGCCCCAAAGCTGGTACCTTCTGTGGGGTTGTGAAGAGCAGCCAGTGTTGTATGTCCTGGTGCATAATTAACATGGAGAGCCTGGCACCTGGCAGGAAAATAACTTCAGAAAGGTGACATCTTTAGCATGTTTTAGAAATTAGTGCTGGCAGTTTCTACCCATCGCTGCCACGCTCCCTCAGCATCTGTTCCAAATTTTTTCCTCTCTGGAAGCCTGGCTGCGTTGGGAGGGCGCTGGAGCGGGGCTGCTGGGCTGGAGGAAATGACTGAGCACTTCATGAGTCACTGCCCAAGATGTTTGAAGAGGAGGTGGCTGAGAGGAACTTGCTGCCTCCGCTACAATCAGCTTCCTGCACGTGGCCCAACAGCTGGGGGGGGTTCTGCAGAGCTTAGAAAGCACACAACACCCCCCCCAAACTCATCCCTTCTGCCCCAAAGCTGGTACCTTCTGTGGGGTTGTGAAGAGCAGCCAGTGTTGTCTTGTATGTCCCGGTGCATAATTAACGTGACGAGCCTGGCACCGGGCAGGAAAATAACTTTGGAAAGGTGACATCTTTAGCATGTTTTAGAAATTCCGTGTGTTGCTCCAAACCACACCAGATTCAGCACAACAGTCAGTCTCCACCTGCCAGGAGGTGATGTAAAGTTACTGCTGAAAATTAGGATTTCCTTGGCAAAGTTAAGAAAAAGTTCAGGAGGAGTTAAGGATCTAACAGGTCATGTCTTCTGATGTAGATAGAGCCCTGGGGGTTTTTAAGTTAAAAGCTAAAACTCACACACTGGTTTCCATTTGCCCCTTACAGAAGGAGAGGTTCTACGAGGGGCATTTCGTGTTGGCGACGCCGTCGTGCAAGGAACTGGCCGACCTGATGAAACAGTGCATGAACTACGACCCCCACCAGAGACCCTTCTTCAGAGCCATCATGAGGGACATCAACAAACTGGAGGAACAAAGTAAGTCCTGGTTTTGCTGAGGGAGGAGGGAGGCTGGTTCATCTGGCTGGTGGACACCTTCCAGCAGCATCTTGTGGACCGTTGTATGGACAGGAGCGTGTCCTGTCCCTTCCTATAGATGAGCACAAATAGGATGCAGGTGTTTTACTTATAGAGTGGTGCTCTTTCTGCCATTTCATTCAACGATCCATATTTTATACGACATTTTTAGTGTCAAGGCAGTTTTGAGCTCCATGAGATTTCTAGGGGACTTTCTTGACCGAATCAGAGCATTAACACACGCAACTCTGGTTCCTGGTTCATCTTATGTTGAAATTACTGCAAAAAAACTAACAGTCAAAGGCAAAACTGGACATCCCATACCTAGTAATAAATAATGAAATAATCATAGAAGCTGAGCAACTGCTGCAGGGTGGGAAGGAGACCAAGAGAAAACTGAATCAGAGTCTGGAAGAGGCAGCGAGCACCCCACAAAGTGAGGGAGGAGGATGAGCCAGTGACAGACCGGCGTGTACAAACAAAGGAATTCCCTGTCAAGAAATAGGCAGGATTTACATGAGAAAAGCTGTGACAGTTGGGATAGAAACACACCAACAGCAGATTGGGAGTGAGCGAGGGCACCTCGAAGAGTCCAGACCGAGGTGTCCTTACGGGAATCTCTCTGACCTGGGGCTTTTCTGTCCATTCCCAGATCCCGACATCGTCTCGGAGAAGAAACCTGTGACGGAGGTCGATCCCACTCTCTTTGAAAAGCGATTCCTGAAGAGAATCCGTGACCTGGGGGAGGTAAGAGCAGCCTCAGAGGGAGATAAGTGTTCACCTGTGTGCACACACAGCTGGCTGTGCCCCCCTGTGTCACAACAGGCAGATGGGAACCCTGAATGAACCCTGAATGCCTAAAACATTGCACCAGTGACACCGTGGCCGGCGGGTGTCGCGTTCAGTCACGCTCTCTCTTTCTTGTACAATTAGGGCCACTTTGGCAAGGTTGAGCTCTGCAGATACGACCCAGAAGGTGACAACACCGGGGAGCAAGTGGCGGTGAAATCGCTGAAGCCGGAGAGCGGAGGGAATCACATCGCTGACCTCAAGAAGGAAATAGAAATCCTGAGGAATCTTTATCACGAGAACATCGTCAAATACAAGGGAATTTGCACAGAAGATGGTAAATCTGCCTGTAGAGTAAGGTTTTCCTTTAGAAATGAGGCGTTTTAAGAAGTTAAACAGTCTTAATTCAGTCTCCTGTAGAGTAAGGTTTTCCTTTAGAAATTAGACATTTTTAAGAAGTTAAACAGTCTTAATTCAGTCTTACGGGTTTAGATCTCTTTTTTTCATGGAAAAAGCAGCAGTTTATCTCTGGAGTCCTCCAGAGCCCATTTCTGAGCTCAGCTAACTTGGATGTCAGCCCCGGGGTTGATGTTCTCACCAAATCCATTTAAAAACCGAGCTCCCAGGCAGGCAGGTGGGGGGGTCTGTGTTCCAGGAGCCCAGACGTTATTATTCATAGAAAAAAGCTCTATTGCCTTATATTTATGCATTTACAGTAGTGCCTGTTCTAAAACAGTATTTAGAAACTTTTAAATTCAGTGACTGCTGCCTGGAATAGTCTCCTCTGGGCTGGCTCAGTGACCAATAATGGGCATTAGCCCCCAGTCTGGCTGTGGCCACACGAGATCGTTCCAGACGCTCCCAGAGCTGGGGGGTTGTACAGGAGTTACTGGTGGTGGCGTGGGGAAGGGTCTGGTGTCTGTGAATTAAACCCATGCTCTGTTTTTAGGAGGAAGTGGGATTAAACTCATCATGGAATTTCTTCCTTCTGGGAGCCTGAAGGAGTATCTCCCGCGGAACAAGAACAAAATCAACCTCAAGCAGCTTCTCAGATACGCGGTTCAGATCTGCAAGGTGAGCCTGGCACCAGAGCCCTCCTGCAACTCTTCTGTTTCATTCATTTAATAGTTAATTTAACTGAGCTGGGGGGGGGGGTAGATTCTCCTTGCTCCATCCCCAAGGACCTGAACTCTAAAGGGGCCTCTCCTGTGCTTCAGGTGCTGCTGGCACAAAGGTCAGTGAGGGAATAATTACCAAGTTCCCTTCCTTAAAAGTTTATTGTGAGAAGTTGTTGCTGCTGCAGGATTTGAAGTGAGGAGGGAGGACAGAGTTTAGAAAGGGTTTGCTGGTGAGAGGGAAGGAGTGATGTGCGAGGCTGAAGTGAGGAGTAGAGGCCAGTGTGGTCGGGCCACGTGAAGCAATGTGATTTCTGCTGTGGTTTTGTGATGATGGTGGACCAGGTGGTCACAAGAAGCAGAGACAGGCTGCTGCTGTGGAGAGGAGGCTCTGAGCACGGGGCTTTTTAATTTTCAGCCGAAAATTTAAAAGCACAAAGCAGAAACAACAGTCTCAATAGATGAGGAACCCAAAGGCTGAGTTTAAGGGGGGTGTGTGTGATGGAAAAGGACCCTGGAAAGTGCCAACAGATGTGGGAAACTTGGGTAGGGTGTTACCAGTTCAACCAGGGAGCATTTGAAGGGGAAGCTGGAGAAAAACAGTGAGTTAAGTACTGGAGAAACCAGCATGAAAGGCTTTTTCTCTCCTAGGGAATGAACTATTTGGGCTCCTGTCAGTACGTGCACCGTGACTTAGCAGCAAGAAACGTCCTTGTGGAAAGCGAGAACCGAGTGAAGATCGGAGACTTCGGTCTCACCAAGGCCATCGAGACCGACAAGGAGTACTACACCGTCAAGGACGACCTCGACAGCCCTGTCTTTTGGTAACAACTTATAACTCCTTCTCTTTAACCAGACTCTACCATGGAATAACTTGTCTGTCCTGTCAACTTGGGCTTTTAGGGGGGTCCTAAAGACTTTTTCTGTTTTGGTAAGAGGTCCAGCATCAGAGCAAGGAAAAGACGACAGTACTGGAGCTCTTTATTTCTTCCTGTGCTTAATGATCCATTTTCCCATGGTCTTTGTATGAACACAGAAGGTGCCTCTCTAGTTTGCTTATCGTGCACACGTAGGGGTTGTGTGAGGAGGCTGAAGTGTAACGCTGTGCCCACAGGTACGCCCCGGAGTGCCTGCTCCAGAGTAAATTCTACATCGCCTCGGACGTCTGGTCGTTCGGGGTGACGCTGTACGAGCTGCTGACCTACTGTGATTCCGAGGCCAGTCCCATGGCAGTAAGTGGCTGGGAAAGAAATTGCTGCTAAAGCTGCTTAAATCAGATATTTATTTTTTTTTTAGTTATTAGTTTTGGAAACAAGAAGTAGAATGAATCTCTTTATCTTATAGAATCATAGAACTGTCTGGGTTGGAAGGGACCTTTCAGATCATGAAGTCCAAGCACCAACCCAGCACTGCCCAAACCCCCACTGCCCCATGTCCCTCAGCACCACCTCTGCCCGGCTTTGAAATCCCTACAGGGATGGGGACTCCACCACTGCCCTGGGCAGCCTCTGCCAAGGCTTCACAACCCTTTTTTGGGAAGAAATTGTTCCCAATCTCCATCCTAAACTTCCCCTGGGGCCACTTGAGGCCATTTCCTCTTGTCCCATGGCCTGTTCCTTGGGAGCAGAGACCGACCCCCCCTGGCTACCCCCTCCTTTCAGGGAGTTGGAGAGAGCGAGAAGGTCTCCCCTCAGCCTCCTCTTCTCCAGGCTGAACACCCCCAGCTCCCTCAGCTGCTTCTCACAAGGCTTGTGCTCCAGACCCCTCACCAGCTCCGTTGCCCTTCTCTGGAACCAATCCAGTCCCTCAAGGTCTTTCCTGTCATGAGGGTCCCAAAACTGGACCCAGCCCTCGAGGTGTCTTTCACTAAAGACCCTGTACAGAGATAAGTTGTGGCAACCACATGTCCTAGTGAGGAAATTATATTTATAAACATTTCTATCTGTTTTCTCAAGCGAGTATACGGCGCACGGTAGCTATGGATAAGCATCTAGTGATGGGTTTCATTTTTGAGATTGAAGTGTCATCTCAGTGTCCATGGAATGGCCTGGACTTGCGCAGGGCAAGAGGTCACGTGCTGATTCCCTCTCTTTTCACAGGAGTTCCTGAAGATGATCGGCCCCACGCAGGGACAGATGACGGTGGCTCGGCTGGTGCGAGTCTTGCAAGAAGAGAAGCGTTTGCCGCGGCCGCCCAACTGCCCAGAGGAGGTAACGATGCGGGGATGCTTTGATAATGACACTCAATTAGCAGCCCAAGCTCCACTCGGTCGTGGTTGAGTAGGCCTGGTAGGCAGAATGTCAGGTGTGCTATTAAAAAGGCATTTCCAAGGTTTTTAAGCATTATTTTAAGAAGTTTTTTCACATTGACGTTCCCAAGTTCGCAACGTCCCTCCAGAGGGATTCAGAACTTGGCTTCAGTGCCTGCATCCGTGTGAAGTTCGTTCTCAATCCCTCTGATTTTTGAAATGGAGAGTTCCTGGATGTGCAGCAAACCTGGACCCCGATGGTCTCCTCCTGCCCCGGGGCCGGGCTGGAGCCCCTCCACAGCCCCAGGAAGACTGGGGGAGACGTGGGGCAGCGTGTTCCTGCCCAGCGCGGTGCTGGGTTGCAGGAAAATGAAATGTTTCACACATTCTTTAAATATCTCTCTCTTTTTTTATTTTGTGATTAGGTGGACCAGCTGATGAGGAAGTGTTGGATATTCAAGCACGATGAACGGACAACCTTTCACAATCTGATTCAAGGATTTGAAACAATTATGAGTAAAATGTAATGATTTATTTTTTTTTTTTTATACCGTCAGTACTTTGCGTGTCAAAATATAAATGCCCACGGCCTGTCGTTTTTTTTAACTACTGTAATTTGTACTCTGACTGTGCTACTGTGTTTAAAGGATTCTTTTTCCAACAGTTTTCCTTTTTAATTTTAGTCAACAGTTGGATGGACTGAATTAAAAGGTATGGCAGGAACCAATCGCTTCAACTCCTTTTGCTGCCGTCACCCCAAAGCAGTTTTATCTTACTTTTCCCCGCTGACGGTCTCCGCGCAATTAGAGCGACCCTGCTAATTGCCAGGGGCAGGCTCCTGGGATAAGGGCACCAGGGGCCATGAGAGGACTTGACACAGCAATTTAATAATTTTGATGGGGTTTTGAGAAAAAGTTTGCCTGCAGGTATATCCTTCCCGTGCAATTAAATTGTAGAAAGAACAAAAATCCACAACTCTGGCATAAAAAAAGCCAGATAAGAGAAAAAAAAAAAAACACCTCGTTTTAACGAGGCTGCAGTTCTGAGCTCTTGGATGTTTTTGAAAATAATAATTAAAAAAAAGCTTTACTGGGCTGCTCAAAAAGATACCAACCAACCAAAGCAGGGAGCCACCTGGATAGCTGTGCTTCTCATGGAGAAACCTGGTTTTGGGATAAATAGATTTGCTTTTCCTAGGTTCCCCCCCCCCATTTCCACCTGCTGACGCTTCCAGCGTGGCTGTGGCTGTGAGAGGTGCCCAGGGGCTGCTCTGCGCCTTGTCCTGCCCCTCAGCTGCAGGGAATTAACTGCATGTGCTAAGGATAGAAAAGAAAAAATGTTTAGCTGCAATCTGGGGGAGGGAGGGGGTGCTCCCCTAAAAATAATGGGCTAGAAGAGAAGAACACCTGAAGAGTGGAGCCAGGGGTGCAGGCCGAGGGGTGCCCCTCACCCCCGGCAGGTTTTTGGGGCACAGATTTCTTTGGCTGACACCCGAATTCATTTTTAGCAGTTCTGCAACACTGTTCCTTTGGCCTGAGAGGCCCATTCTTTAAATCACGGCATCACCCTTTATTTAATAATTAGACTCCCAGAGCCCAACCACAGGAGGGAGCGGTGTCCAGTTCCCTGGAGGGAAAACCAGTGGGGCCGCACTGGGACCAGTTCGCTTTAGCTGCCAGCCCCAGCCTCAGCACTCGAGCCCAGGGCTCCCGGTTTCTAAACCCCTCGGGTGCCAATAAAACAGTGGTTTAACTGGAAACCTTTTGCTGAGCAGTGACCTAAGGTCATACCCTTGAAGAGCTGATACTCGGTGCTGGCAATAACAGAAAGGCGACTTTAAATACATATCTATATATATATATAATTGTAATTATGAGCTGCAACGAGGTCAGATTTATTTTTACAGTATTACATTATTTTTTCTGTATGTCACTTACGAACCCGATATGAATCTGTAAGCACTTTGTTACTCTTTATACAAGCCAAATTTAATAAAGATTTTTTTTTTCTCCATGTGCGTATCTTTTTTAATCATAAATAAAACAAGAGAAAGATGTTTTAAATGTAGCTTCCCTAGGAAGTGATCAGAATGTCTTCAAAACAACCTTTCCTTACATTAAATGATTAAAGCTAATCCAGAGATGTTTTCCTCCCACAGAAATCCACTTTAAATACGTACAAACCATTTATTGTCACTGAAAAGCGTAACAATTTGAGAAAGTCGCGTATACAAACAGTCTGAACAAAATCTTACAAGTGACTTCATCAATTACACACACAGAGGATCCCAGAAGAGCTCCTGGGACCTGTGTCACTGTCTGTCCCATCACCAGCACTTACTGCCCACAGCCTGGATGGTAGGGGTTTTTTTTAAGCTTTAAAAATACATGTCCCAGTCACATTAGAAAGCTTGAAAGGCAGAATTTAAGACTTTTTTTTTTTTTAATAAAAAAAAACAGTATTAAAAAACTGGCTTGAGTATTTTCTAGCAAGATGAAATAAGAAGGAGCTGGGGTCTGGCCTCAGTGCTCAGTGAATCCCGAATTTGGGAGAGGAGGCCCAGGCAGCAATTCCCCACCCCCCCGGCGGCTCCTGATTGATCTGACACAAACTCCCATGTCACAAACCTTGATTGATTGCCAAGTCCTCAGCTACAGGGAAAGAAAGACTCTGGCCCGAGTTGCTTCATGAATAAGCTAAAAATACAAAGTCTTTTTTTACAAAAAATACAGGAAAGAGCAATAGAGTCAAACTGGGAACCCCTGTCTGTGCGGTGCCACCTGCTCGGTCCCAGGTGAGGGAGGAGCTCTCCCTTCCAGCCAGAACTACCTCGTATAAAAAGAAAGCTGTAAGAAAAAGAGTGAAAACCAGAGCCAGGTTTTGGAGAGCAGCAAATGCTGAAAAAGTGAAGATGCTTGGGAAAAGAGAAAGAATTACCACAGCAGCCAGCAGGAAGGCAGGATTAACGACACCATCCCTGGAGCATGTCAGCGGTGCTCCTGCTCCAGCTCTGAATCATCAGACATCAGAAAAAGCACAACAGACACTTCAGTTCTTCCATTTTTTTCAGTTCTTTTTACCAATGTCCCACCACCTGTAGGTGTAGCCCCAGCCCTGCCTTACCCCCAGTGCGCCTTTGCCACACACGCCATTTTACAGAGGCTTTCCCAAACTGCACATCATTACTTACTTATTCCAAGCAAAAACTGTGGGTTCTTGGCCTAAAAGCTGCTAAAAGTTATTTCATTGCCCGAGCATCACCTGGCCAAATTGAATTTCCTATTGCAAGGCAGCACACAGCAGAGCATCTGACTTTTAACAAACATTTATTGAAAAAAAAACATCACAGAGGCTCTGGTAATACATTTGGTATATCTCCATTCCAGGATTAAGAGGCAATATTAAAAATATAAAGGCTGTAAATACAGAACTCTTAATCCTGGAAAAAAAAAAAAAGTAAAGATTGGAAAGAAAAAAAAAAAAAAAAAAACTCCGAGTTAAAAAAATAAGAAAAAAAAAATTACTATCAAGACTTCATCTTTTAACTTCCTCAGTCTGAGGACGAGAGAAAGGCTCGGCGTTCCCTCCTCAGGATTTTTATTGCTTTCGGCTGGTAAAAATGGCCAGAACTCACCCGGTTCCTGCGCGTTGTCACCTCCAGCCGTCACCGGACGCCAAAGGACCCGCCGGCCCGTCCTTTGGGAAGGCAAAGTCCAAGGGACCTCGAGCAACACGTACCGGCTCCTCGGCAAGTCTGCCCCTCACGGGGGGACGTCGTTCCTCTGGGGATACTCAGAACCCCCCCAGAAAGAAGCGTTATTTGTCTGAAGTTAAGGCAGCAATAAATAGCAGAGGTACGAAGAGCCTGCCCCGGCGCCCAAAGGCCCGAGGGGGGGGGGGGGTTATTTCGGTCTCAATAAACGCGCTTTTTTTTGAGGGAGGATTCTGCGTAACGCACGGCGGAGCCCGCGGGCGGCTGGCCCAGGCACTCCACGGGGCCGGGCTCCGGGGAGGACACCAGGTACGAGGAGCCGCGCTTCTCACTTCTCGTTGGAGCCACCTGAGGAGGAGGAGGAGAAGACAAGTGACACACGATCCAGCACAAACGTTGTCAATAAATAAAGCTCAGGAATTACCGAGGCCCAAAGACCCGACTCCCTCGGCTGTAGGGCCGGCTATACACAGCTCCTGAGTCAGCGGTTGTGCCCTTTCCCTAAAAAAAACTCGTCGTAAAAGCGTCGGTGCCCCACCACCTCTGCGTTTTTGTGAGGGCACAGGGCTCTTGGTGGCCCCGTTCCACAGCACACATTTAAAAAGTGGTGGTGTAATGGCCATGGTGCCACCCCACGGTGTGACAGCAGCTCCAGCCATCTTCATCCTTCACCGTACGGCACCTTTTCTGCCTCTTTCTTTTCTCTCGCAGAGATGGACGGGTTAAACTCTCCTGGCACAGCTCTCCTGGCAGCTCAGATGCCAAAGGACTTGGTTTCCAGCTGTGCCAAAGCGGGTTGGTGGTGTGGGGAGTGGGTCACCATCTGCCGCTTGTGGGCACGGGTTTACGTGTGGTACCGAAGCGAAGGAGAGAGCAGTAACCACTCATTTCATCCAAACTTCCATTCAACCTTGAAGAAGGCTCTGGAGATGCTGGGAGGGCTGGAGCCCCTCTGCTGGGAGGGGGGGCTGAGAGAGTTGGGGGGTTCAGCCTGGAGAAGAGAAGGCTCCAGGGAGACCTTCCAGCCCCTTCCAGTCCCTCAAGGGGCTCCAGGAAAGCTGGGGACGTTGCAGGATGTCCTACCACAGCACTAGAAGCTGCACATACACATCAGAGCCCACCGTCCTAATCAATCACTCTCTCTCTTTCCCCACACATGTCAGTAATTCCACTAATTAAACAGTCGTACCTGCTCTGTAACGACCACCTGAACATGATCTCACTACGTCCTGCTCCACCAGGGTTAAGCCTGGCTCCTAGATCACAAGATTCAGGTGTGTGGTTCATGTTGGGCTGAACAATTTAGAAACCTTCACGTGTTTCACAGACCAGGAGACACTTTGCTCAACCAAAAGACCAGCGGCGCTGACCAAAGGTCCCCCAGCCCCTCGGTAATCCACATTCACAACTCAAACAACCCTCAGCTAAGTCCAATTTCATCATAAATAAGAATTTGCCAATCCTAATCAATCAGTCTTGATCACTCTCTCTTTCCCCACACATGTCAGTAATTCCACTAATTAAACAGTAGTATCTGCTCTGTAACGACCACCTGAACGTGATCTCACTACGTCCTGCTCCACCAGGGTTAAGCCTGGCTCCTAGATCACAAGATTCAGGTGTGTGGTTCATGTTGGGCTGAACAATTTAGAAACCTTCACGTGTTTCACAGACCAGGAGACACTTTGCTCAACCAAAAGACCAGCGGCGCTGACCAAAGGTCCCCCAGCCCCTCGGTAATCCACATTCACAACTCAAACAACCCTCAGCTAAGTCCAATTTCATCATAAATAAGAATTTGCCAGAGGAAAGGCTTAGGTTTTGTCCCCCTCCTTTCTCCTGCTCTTCCAACAGCCGTGGGGATGCCACACGTGCTCTGGCTCATGTGGCACCATCTCCACTGCATGGGTGAAACACATCTCCAACCATGCTCCTCCTCCACCTCTGAAACGCAGCTCCACAAGAGCAAGAGCAAAACAGATTGTAGGGCTAAAGCGAGCGCACACACACACGAGCACACACTCTGCAGAGCCTCCTGGGGACCAGCCTGGGTCCCCTCTTCACTGGGATTTATCTTTTGAGCCCAGGAGTGAGAGAAGTTCCTCACTGCAGAGACAAAACGTGCTTTGATTTTGTTTATGCCAAGAGATGGACCGCTCTCATTCTTCCTCTTCCGGTGCCTGGCATTAAGGCCGACTTTTGATGAGCTGTTCAACATCACCTTCCATGTCTGAGCTCTCCTCTTTAGAGCAGAGATAAACTGGAAGGCGTTCGTTTGCTCAAATCCCAGATTATTTCCTTCTCTTGTTACGACTTCCCTCGTTTCCAGCCACATCAGGGTTGTGTGTTCCTCCTAAATCTCCTCCAAAAACTGGAAAAATCTCATGCCAGCTCTGAGATGTGGCTTCTAAACCCCAGACCATTGTGTGCTGAATCCTGGTGCCAACCTCTGTGGAGCAAAGGGATTTAATGCCGTGATGGAGGAGAGCTGGGCTGGAGGGCCACGAGCCGGGCTGGAGGCTGGAGAACCTCCTCCAGCAGGGCTCAGAGAGATGGTCATCGCTCCCATGGCTGGGGTTGGACTCTCAAAGGCTTGTTACGCTGACGGACCTAATTCCCTGCAGCTGCTCCAAAAAAGATGACCAACCTGGCTTTTAAGGGCTCTCCTATGTTCTTCCTTTTCCGGCGCCTGGCATTAAGGCAGAATTTTGCATGGGCTGTTCAACATCACCTTCCACGTACGAGCTCTCCTCTTGAGACCAGAGACAAACTGGTCTAGTTAGTTTGCTCAAATCCCTTCTATTTCCTTCTCTTGTTAGGATTTCCCTCGTTTCCAGCCACATCAGAGTTGTGTGTTCCTCCTAAATCTCCTCCAAAAACTGGAAAAATCTCATGCCAGCTCTGAGATGTGGCTTCTAAACCCCAGACCATTGTGTGCTGAATCCTGGTGCCAACCTCTGTGGAGCAAAGGGATTTAATGCCGTGATGGAGGAGAGCTGGGCTGGAGGGCCACGAGCCAGACTGGAGGCTGGAGAACCTCCCCCAGCAGCGCTCGGAGAGATGGTCATCACTCCCATGGCTGGGGTTGGACTCACAAAGGCTTGTTACGCTGACGGACCTAATTCCCTGCAGCTGCTCCAAAACAGATGACCAACCTGGCTGTTAAGGGCTCTCCTATCCATAAAAATGGGAGTAATGGGATTTATCTATGACACGAGGGTGTGAATTCCTCAGGGCTTCCAAGGCACTCGGGAAACAAGACCTACACTCAGACAGAGCAAAGCTTTATTCCACTGTCTCA